AAAGAGAAATAAAGCAGGCCTCGCTTTGAGAGGCAACCACTAAACATTCAAACAAATCCAATCACATTCGCCTTTACGCTACTTTTGTGATGGCTGACATGCGGCACTGTTACATCAAATCACACAAACAGAGATACCTCTTTCCCCCAAACTCATAAGCCCTCAATTTGCTATCACAGCCATTTCAAAGACTCAAGAAAGCATCCCATCAAAAGGCAGGGTTGCAAGAGACATTATAATCCCAAACCCAGTTAGAAAAAGAAAACAAAAGAACCAAAAAATTATGGCAAAAAATTTAAAAAAAATGAACATGTGAGTAAGCATAAGAGCCAAATGTTGTACAAGCAGTCTTCAAGACCTTTCTCCCGGCCTCTATTCTTTTTCCCACCTTGTGGAGTTGGCCTGTTAACAACATCAGCTTTTGCTCTATGTAACCCAAGGCGTTGCCTTATCTACTTTTCCTTCCTCTGTTTCTCCTTTCTTTGGTTGCTCCTTAAGGAGACCTTTTCAATCGACTCCAAATTACATATCCATAGGGTGGGGGATCATTAAGAAAACTCGTATCACAAACAATCTTTTTCTCTATCCAAGTGTTTTCATCAAGCTGCCCCTAATTCTTATCAGGATCATCGAATGTAAGCCGTCTTCTCTTGATGCCATTTATCGAAGAATTCCTACTAGCTGAACTTACATTAGCTGTTGATCGAAGGTTTTCCACATCTAATTGCTGCAGTAGATTGTAACATCGAAACACATCTTCCTGCGACACAAAAAGGCAAAGAAGAAGTCCAAGGTTAAAGGATTAATCTAATTATATGAAGAAAACATATTATTTTTTTGTTTAGAAAAAGTGAACAAATTAATTACTCACAATATTAAGAAATCCTGGATAAGCAATTGAATTCATCTGGGTCTCCAATGTGGTTCTTGTTAAACTTTTATTTATTACCACTAATGAGGCAGCCGCTGCTATAACAGAAGGTCGATGGCTCATCAAATGTATCTCTGCATGTAGTGTAAGATACTTGGCATCAATGTGAAACAAAATAATTGAAAAGAAGTAATTAAAGGATGAACCCAAAACTAGCATTGATGTCTATTAAAATTAAGTACCTTTCATTAAAGCCAAAATGTATCGCACGGTCCTAGATATTGTTTCCCTCGGTGGAGAATCATGCCGGGAGAATCTCATTATGAAGTAGCGAAGAAAAGCAAAAGGAGTTGTATAGTTCATTCTCCATTGCAACGTGCTTAATATTCCAAGCTCTACTCTTTTAACACTCTTACTTTCAAATATAACCCCATCTGTTTGGAACTCCAGTGAAGAGGGCACCTGTACTTCCTCCATCTTTGAGGCCAGAGAAATACATGCTACTGATATCAATTTAACTACCCAAGAATACCTTCTCTGCAATACCAAAAAACCATAAACAAACCACAAGTACAGGAAGAAGCGCATATGGAGTTGAAACCTTCGATTCAAAAGTCTTACATCAAGGGAACGACTTGAAATGAACCGATCAAAATATATCATGGACAGGTAAGCGGTATGAAAATGAAAACCAAAGGTTTTTCTTGTCTGCATCAAAAAATATTCCATCAAAAAAACGAATCAGAACAAGAAAGTGTTGATAACAATTTGAAAGGGAAAGATAAAGGGTATGAAGAAAGAAACACCAACTCTGAGAATCCAAGTAACAGCTTCCAAGCGAGCATTTCTAAACCAGCTATCAATGACCAAAGTGTCGTTAGCACTGAACCCACGATGAGGTTCTTGATTAGCCAACAACGCCAAATACTCTTCTTCTTCCGTATCTGGATCACCAACATAAGTCCGTGAAATATCAATGTATGTATCATCTTCATCTGCCACTGACAATTCAGCACGAAAATCTTCTTGACAAAGAAGATCATTGGGAGATAAAGATTCGCCCGCCATGTTTTACGAGAGCATGTGTGAAATTATTAACTGCTAAAAGAGAAGAAGAACAAGTTTGGAAAAGGGAGATGGAGATGAGGACCGAAGATTTTTTGCCACTGTTTTAACGCTTGTCTATGGAAAGAAGTCGCAGGTTTGTTTCGTACAATTAAGAGATTGCTTGCTTTCTTTGCTTTTGTTTTATACTGTAAAAATTAAGAACAGTTTTTGGACTCGAAGTGGAACGGTAGGTGGGGGATCTTTGTTGGATATGACGTGAATGTAGGAGCGTATGCCTCACACCCCGACGATGAGAATACGTGGGGGACGGTCACTTGTCAGGTTGGTGCCGTACAGAGGGTATTGGTACCTGGGAATTGCACATTGGTTAGGAGGGACAATCAAAAACATTTTGCATCACAGGGGCCAATATCTCTCTTTTTTAAAAGGAAAAAAAAAGAAAAAAGAAAAAAGAAAAAAGAAAAAATATTTTTTATATCATCCTGACATGGCGATTCAACTAGTCCTCATGTCAGAGAGGACCGGTCAGAAAGTCATCTGTATTTGAATTACAATTAACATTGATAAAACAGTGGCTAAAATAATGCAAACAGTTGCAAAACACTCATAAAATATTATTAAATTAAAATAATATTTTACATATTTTTGGTTTTTTCTTTTAATTCCATCAGTTAACAACCTAATTTTTTTATTTAATTTTATTTTTTAATATTAGATTATTTTAAAAATTATAATTTATCTTTTTAATTAGGTTATATACTAATCTCATGATTTTTTTGTTGTCAATTTTAATCTTTAAAATTAGATATATTTTTTCTATAAATTTATTTTGATATTATAATCTAAGTTACAAATTTAACATGTTAATCTAAGTTATTTTTTTATTTTTGTATTTCATCTTTTAATACTCAGTTGATTGAAAATTAAAATTTTATTTTTTATTTACTTTCTATAAAATTATTTTGATCTTATTTCTGGGTCATAAATTTGACAGGTTAATCTATTTATTTCTGGGTCATAAATTTGACAAGTTAATCTAATTTTTTATTTATTTTTTGAGTTATTTTTTAATATTAGGTTGTTCAGGAATTGAGTTTCATAAATTTTTTTCATTTTTTTTTTATAAAATTATTCTAGTATTGTGAATTTAATTTTTATCAATTTAGTTTTTTAATTTTTTTTAATTTTATCATTTATTCAATTTAGTTTTTTTATTCTTTTTAATTTTATCATTTAGTATTTGGTTATGTGAGAAATGAGTTTCATGATTTTTTTAATTTACTTTTTAAGAAATTATTTTGGTCTCATAAATTTATTTATTTTTTCTTAGTCTCAACATTCAATATTAGATTTATTAAAAATGAAGCCTTATAATATTTTTATTTACTTTTTATGAAGTTATGAAAATGAAGCCTTATAATATTTGGTTATGAAGTTATCATTGTTTTATGATTTAAGTTGTAGGTTCAAAAGGTAAACCTGAGTTGATATGACTTTTTTTAATTAATTTTTTTTTATTTTATCTTTTAACATTAAATTAATTAAATATTAGATTTTATAATTTTTTTATTTACTATATATGAAATTATCCTGATCTCATTACTTGAGTTGTGAGTTTGACAAGTTAACTTAAGTTGATTCTAGTATTTTTTTATATAATTTTTTTAAATCTTCACCTTCAATATTTGGTTTATTATGAATTGATTTTCATAATTTATTTTAACCTGCTTTCTATAGAATTATTACGATCTAATAATCCAAGTTGCAGATTTAACAGATTAACTTAAATTGATCAAATATATTATTGTCTCAATATTTAAAAAAAATAAAATTAATTTTTTATCGGAGAAAAACACTAACAATGTTTAAATGTTTTTTCTACATTAAAAAAATTGATCTAACTTGTAATACAATACAAGGCAATGATATAGTAATTAACTATAGTATAAATCAGATTTATATAAACTATCACAATGTAGAAAATCGTGTGTGTGTAATCAGAAATCAATTTCCCGGCATCGTTTTCTCTCAACTCTTACGTATTAAATGATTGTCAAAGCCAGTAATTTGAATGATGGCAAGTTATTAAACTGTTCAACAGAACTAATTGTACCATTATTATTCTTTTGAAAAAAAAATAACACTGGATACTATAATAAAATGAAGAATTATTCATTTTTACTTAACGTTCAGGGCAGCGGCTAATGCTGATGAGATATGAAATCTATTTGAATAATCTTAGAACGAGTCCAGTGCATCGGCTAAACCTTGTTCGTGATGTGAAGATAATATTCAAATTTGATTTTTGAAAAATAATTTTTACGTACTCGACAAGTGCTGCCGAATCGCTTACCTATTCTATTCATCAAGTTGTTGAAGTTTCCTCGAGCTAATAGGAAAGAAATTCGACCTCTCTCTTCTCTCCCTCTCCCTCTCCCTATTTCTTCATGAATTAAGAAAAAAACAGAAGGATTCTAATCTAAAAGCTGAGAGGATACACGCACGCATACTGTGTTGAAGACATTGACTAAACCCTCGAACGGGAAAAAGAAAAGATCCCGACTTTTAATCTCCTTTTCGCCGAAAAGATGCAGCAGAAAACAAATGAACTCCCTTTCTGTATGTTAACTCCAAATGAAAACCCAACGAAAGATTCCAAGTTAGGTTCTTCCCAATTTTAGTGTTTTCTACAGTGAAGTCCTAAACATTTATTAAATTGATCATAATTAATTGTAGCCATAGAATCATGTATTGTTCAGGGCAACATAGACAATTTATTTAAAAAACGGCACAAGATCTAAAAGCTAAATAGCTTAACTATAAAAATTCTCGGTGGCAGCTCACGTTAATATAAACCATGCCTTCATTATAGTATCTCTAATTACCTCTGACAATCTTTAATAGCTTCACAGAATTCCACTCTTTTTCTTTAACTTTATCACATACCTCTTTTATTCTCAGCCTTGGAGACCGAGTTCGAAGGTATTTATTATTATTATCAAAATTAAGTGTCCAGTGCATCTTAAAAAATGTCTCTGAGCTGGGATGGTATTAAATGTCTCTGGTCGTTCGTGTCCTATATCATGCATCCCTATGAAAGTCTCCGTGGAATCTTGTTTTGTTTTTCTGATCAGCTTTCTTTTTAGTACTTTGTCACCAGCTCTGCCTTGACTAATCAGCTATAGATCCAGATTTACACCGAATCATTATAAACTCAACTCAAGTACTGATCTTCTTTCATCAGGACAAACTTAAAAAAGATATAATCAAGGTAAATCAAATCAGATCCAAGCTTACGGCTGGTTAATTATGACATGCCACAACGTCGTCCCAGCTAATCTAGCAATGAACAAATTAAACCTTTGCATCGAACTTGTAATACGGGGGCAGGCACAGAATATTCTTTCGAATAAACGAGCATCGAGCATTTTGAATGAACAGGTGAGCGCTTAACACGACTAAAAGATTGATGTCTTCTATTTTGATATCGAGCAGACCTGAAATCTAACTTCAGCTACAGCAGGTGAGCGGTCCACAAAATCTCAATACATGAAACTCCATTTTGATATCGAGCAGACCTGAAATCTAACTTCAGCTACAGATATTGATATCTGTAGAGCAGACCTGAAATCTAACTTCAGCTACAGATATTGATATCTGTAGAGCAGACCTGAAATCTAACTTCAGCTACAGATATTGATCTTGTCATCATTCACATGCTTGGCAATATTTCCTGGCACGTAGTGCGTTACATTGCAGATTTCATTGGATGTGTGCCATCATTCATTTCAGAACTCAGCCCATCCATCACATTGAATACGAAATTTCTTAAACACCAAAATTCATAATTTAATGTTCCTTGTGCTTTCTGTAATCACGTTGGCATTATTATAGTTTATTTTTTTAAGTGATGACCATTAAAAGTGATGGTGCTAGGAATCACACATCAATCAGTTAGAAGAAAAGGATTTTAGTTGTTTAAAAGCATAAAAAACACATTTTTTTTCAAGGTATAACTGAGGACAAAACCCTCTATATAGCACAGTCTTATGAAAATGTCAGCAATGTGTGATTACCCAAGCCTCTTGTTTAAAGGCTATGATAATATCATTGATCTCACATAAGTTAAAAGACGAGAGCTTTGATCACTTATAAGCACAAAACACATCTCTCTTCTCAAGAGATGTCTTTTAAAATGACATGACCCATTATATGTTTCAAGTAAATATTTTGTGGAGGGTCTGTCATATCATATGTGGGTGTAGACACACGGAGGATATGATCAGATTGCTGTATCATCAGAAAGGACTTCTGATAAATTGACTTATTCCTTGATTATGGAACTCATAGAGGTTGTCTTCCTTGGTTTTAATCAACTGAGAAGAATAGCTGAAATAAGTGGGGCCGAATTGATAAGCACTTTCTTTTCCAGCAGCAACACATCTACAGCATTGAATGACAATACAAAGCTTGCGTGTTTGTCTCAGGGGTCCACCGCAGTCCTCTGGCCAACTGCCTTTCACATGGAACCCTGAGTGACATTGTAGCTCGTTCTATTTGTCTGATCTCTACTTGTAAAGGAAAAGCTCAAGATCAGTCCCCAGTAGTTGGATCATGATCCAACTACTGGTTACGAGATACAGTTTCAAAAAAAAAAGAAGAAGGAAATTGAGTCTGAATAGATTATAACAGAACTCCACCAGTACTTGGGAATTAATGCAATTATCTAGAATTAATTGCCAACTAAATTTGGAGTTGAATTGTTCAGTTCATCAACCTCGGCAAGAATCGGGACTAGAGGATATGATCGATCTTAAGTTGGAGAAAGGAAGAAGCTGTTAAATAGGAGAAATGAAATCTAGCTTTTTATACCTAACCTATATTTCTATTATTCATTTTTACTTCTGTTTTTCACCATTTCATCACTGCGATCCCCGGACTGTGTCGACTTGAATGCCACTCCAGCTTACCCTAGATTGAAAATTACATCAATTAATGGACTCAGTGCGTGATTTCCAGCCATGTCTTTTCTACTTTTTCATGATAGTTGCCATAAAATACAAGGCAATAATTTCAAAGGCTCGCATCATATCAGGATTTCTTCTGCAAATGGGCTGGCCTAGCTAGACCTGTAGACAGCATCAC